TACTAAACTTTGTCTCAAGGGTAACACGATTTAACATAATTTTCTGATGACTATATATGTCTATTGGCTAGATCCCAATAGCGTTGGACATGGCTAAGGACAGCAATGGAAAGGATAGAGAGCTGAAAAAGAGGATTGAAGCTGACGACTATATGTCTTGTGCTGTTCGTGAGTGCTATGCTTCATTTCAAAACATTATTAAGATTTTGGTTCAGGGTGGTCGCGAAAAAGAGTAAGTTTTATTACATTCTTATAATTTTGATTGAGAAATGGATATACATAGTACATATTGATGCTTTGTTATATCATAATGCTTTATTTGTCCAAATGGCCTTTCCAGGGTTATAGAATATATATTAACTGAGGTTGACAAACATATAGAAGAAGGCAAGCTATTAACTGAATACAATATGGGTGGTCTTCCTAGCCTCTATGACCACTTCGTCAAGCTTATCAAGTACTTGGTATGTATTTGCAATATCATGGCAGTTGTTTTATGTGACTCGTTAATGGGATTTATGAAGTGTTCACACTGATTTAGTTTCATTTCTGCAGTTAGAGAATAAGCAGACAGGCAGGGATCAGGTTGTGATTCTTTTCCAAGACATGCTGGAGGTTGTGACAAGAGACATAATGATGGAAGATCACATAAACAGGTGAAGCATTTTGATGTGGTTGCTCCTGATTTTATACTAGTGACTTGATGCCATCTGATGTTGGTTACATTTTTTCTTCAACAGCTTGGTAAATTCTATCCATGGTGGATCAGGACATGAGGGAATTGTCATGACCCGAACCCGTCCCTATGGGTTAAGGACGTAACCGGCCAGTAATCACGAGATTACCTACGGCCTCAAACCAAACAAGACATAACTCATCAGAGTAAAGGGGCCAAACGGAAGCAGAATCAAAACTTTTGTCCATAGAGTTGTGCTTACATGGCACATCATAACAATCCATACATATACATGTTAATAACTCACATCAAAATATGTAATAACATGAAGTTCTATACATACAGGATCATGCGAGTCTAAGTTAGCCAATCAAAGCTACATACAACCATAATCCAAAGTTCTCGCCAACATGACAAAATATAGCAAAATAGCAAAAGGGCAAAAACAAGTCTCGTGCGTGAGACATATGGGCTGACTCTTCAAATCCTTGATTGTTTCTCACAAACATCACTGAGGCTGGGTTTGGACCTCCCTTGGCTCACCTACAAACACATGAATGAGCGTGAGTGAAAGCTCAGTGAATAATATCAAATAAAGAAGATACATGAACAGTATTTAGAACGACATGCACCAAACGGCCTTGGGCCCAATTCATGTTTCTATCTAGTATATATATATATATATCAAGTAACTGCAGTTCCAAACACATCAGACGGCCTTGGGCCCAATCCATTCATGTCAAAAGGTCTTTGGCCTATTTATTCTTTCATTCATGTTAGAGTGGCCTTTGGCCCAACCATTCTTTCATTCATGTCAGACTGGCCTTTGGCCCATTCATTCTTTCATTCATGTCGGACTGGCCTTTGGCCCATTCATTCTTTCATTCATGACAGACTGGCCTTTGGCCCATTCATTCTTTCATTCATGTCAGACTGGCCTTTGGCCCATTCATTCTTTCATTCATGTCGGACTGGCCTTTGGCCCATTCATTCTTTCATTCATGCCAGACTGGCCTTTGGCCCATTCATTCTTTCATTCATGTCAGACTGGCCTCTAGCCTAACCATTGGTATAGCAAACATTCGTCCACCATTCAAATTAACGAACTTATAAGTCTTACATAGAAGTAAGCAATTGGACAAATGACATACTTCAGATATCTTTATTAAGATATTACTCACAGTGTTCTGCCGGTGGATTCACCCTTGAGCTCGACCCTACACATTACATAACACATATGGGTCACAAACGATTCAATCTGTTCTTAATCCATACATCCCTCTTAGGCTTCTTTCTTATTCTTTTAATTCATTCATGATGCTCAATGCATGCCTAAGAGTACTTAGAAGTGAAAGAGAACGGAAAATGAAACACAGAACACATTTACAAAATTTCAGAAACAGGGGTCCCCACTCGAGCGTGGACCTGCCCGCTCGAGCGGACCCATTAGGCCTGCAAAAGTACTGGTTGCCTCGTTTTTATGCTCGAGCGTGAAGTCGAGCGCTCGAGCTGAAAGTCTCACTACATGGCTCCCTGCCCGAGCATGAATATCCCCGCTCGAGCGGACACCCATGTCTGCAAAACTTCTGGGAGCTTGTATTTCCCGCTCGAGCGGCGGTTCCCCCGCTCGAGCGGACTTCATGAATTCTGGGTTTTCCAGAACTGTTCTTGAGCTTCAAACACGCATTCAAGTTGGTATTTCTTGCATTTTACAGCCCATATTTCTCATATACATATACCAACATGATATAAACACCAAATTACAACATTGAGAAGCTCAAATCCCATGAATCAAATACATGCATGCTCCGAATTACACCAAACTCCTTTCCAACATAACAAATTCATGCATTCAAAACTCATACTCTTATGAATTGTACATGCATGTGAGATATAGCTCTCATTCTCAATTTAAATGATGAAGAGATGATCAAAAGCATGAACTTCAATCAAAGATTCAACATGGATCATGTATTTCATGCTCAACATACAAATCCAAAGCAATTCCTTTCATGCATGCATTATTTGACTTCAAATTCATCAATTACAACACAATTCTTGTTCTTGATCACATATTCTCTTTGAATTCACAATATTACAAACTTAATTCATAAATTTTTGCTCAAATACTCACCTAGGAACTTTAATTCTCACAATTGTGGTTAAATCTTGAACCTAGCCTTCC